TCCTCCTTTGGGGGGATGAGCACAGGGCAGTAGGGAGACCTCCAGCCCTGGAAGTACGATTCCATTACAAGCCCAGTGTGGGTACCACAAACCCACTTATACACTGGATCCTACCGGCTTCCCCTGGGTGCCCAGTGAAGGGGGACAGTGGTGGGCACACATCATCAGGGACGTAGCTACAGTCCTCTAGGTTGGTTTTCTTCCTCATCCCCAGGGATTATCTTGCTGCAATCCCTGTGTCCACAGGCAAATGTGACATGCCAGCTCCCCTCAGCATTGTCCACCATGGATTATTGTCCACCTATGAAATTCCAACCCGCTGGCACTTAAGGATTCTCCAAACTCTGTCTCCCTGTTGCCACCAGTAGGTGTCTAGAGCTATTGACATACTACAGGGATGTTCTATTGTCATCCTGCCATTTCCTCTGTTCAAAAAATGGGCTGGTTTGTTTTTACCACCGTGGGGCCCAGGTTCTTTGATGGAGTGTTTGCTGATTGCTTCCATAACTGACCAGCTGTGTGACCTCGGGTAACCCTGTCTTTTGGTTCCTGATCAGATGGGGATAATAGTTTTTACCTCATAGGGTTGTTGGGAGCATTTAGTGAATTAATGCACGAAGCCTGCTTAGAACCGTGCACCCACACAGCGGGCTCTGTACAGGGCTTAGCTATGGTCGTGTTGTTGATCATGATGAGTGATGAGAGAGTCTGGTCAGGAGCACAATTCTCTCACCATGGTCATCAGCCTGACCCCTTGAGCCAAGAGTTTTGGTCCACTCCTCTGGCCAGTCATGAAGTCAGAGATGGACATGTGCGCTGAGAGCCTGATGAGGCTGGATCTCAGGACTCGTGGAATCTGGGACAAGAGTGCTCTCCCTGCTTCATGCACATGAATTGGAAGCTCCTGGCTGCCATCCTGTGACCACAGGGGATAAAGCCTGTACCGTGGGAGGAGGTAAAGGAGGTAAAGCAGGGAGGAGAGACAGAAAATGGGATTTCTTGCTAACACTGATAGAGTTTGGGGCGCATAAAGCCCCTGTGTTTTTGAAGCCACTTGGAGTCAGGTTTTCTTTCCTGTTACTGCAGCCAAACGCATTTTACCCCATGCACCACTGAAATCTGCTCTTCCGGCCCCACCCTTGAACTGGTCACCTCGATAGTTAGGATCAGCGGCTCCAAGTCTTGGTAGACAATCTTCACTCGCTTCGCGGCTCGCTTTGCCTGAACCTCGGAATCCGCAATCACGGCGCAGACGAGCTGACCCACACAGGACACCTGCGACACAGCAAGACATTGTTCTCAGGGGGGCGGGCACCAGGTCCTCTCCTTCCTCCCGCCGAGCACAGGGCTGGACGCGCAGTCAACGACCCTTCACACGGGCCTGTGCCCGCGGCACCGAGATTCACACAGGCCTCGGCAGGAGAGGGCGCTGACCCCAGGCACTGGGAGCTCACGTCTCTGCGGGGCAGCGGTGGCAGCGGTGGCTGAGAGGGGCAGGAGTCACCCTGCCTCAAGCACAGCAGACTCAGGCTCCAGGCCGAGCAGACGGGACAGCTGAGGGCCACTGGCCCAGGACAGCCAGTCCCTCGGCTTGACCTGGGGCTGCCACTCCACGAGCAGGGCCACTCTGAGCGGCAGCTTCTGCCCTCATGGACACGGAGGACCAGGACGTCACAGCCCAACTCCTCCAGAGAGGAGGGAGGGAGAGAGTGACAACCCAGCACTGCTGGTGAGCCCCTCTCTGCCCTAGACTGTGCTGCAGCCCGTGCTGCTCAGAAGAGACAGGAGACGGCAGCAGCCAAGACGTGACCACACACAGCATCCCCTGCAGCATGTCACCTGAGGTGAGGGGGGCGCCATGGAGCTCACACGGGGACCAGGGCCGAAAGTTGACGGGAAAAAACAAAACGAAGGCTCCAGAAAGGGAAAATAGTCAGGCCTGGAAGAAGTGACCACAACTGTGTAGTCTCTCTCCCACCTTATCCCATGATCAGGATATAAACTTCATCACTCATTTTTTAAATCTACTTTAGACTATCAGGTCTTTTCTACAATCAGCATACAGTAGTTTTATCCTCTGAAAAAATGGTAGTAAAAAAAGTTAAATCCAGTGCACATTCACAAGTGTGTTTGCTGGGTGTGGGTATGTGAGAGCAGTGGGAGATAAATGAACAAGAAGGCAAAATGTCTATAATTATTGAAGCTAGGAGACGAATCTGTGGGAGATCAAAATTGGCCACCTCAAAATATGTCTCTTTACCTCGATTATTTTCTCCGATGGACATTTGACCTCTCCCACTAACTGCCTAACTGAATTTAACTCTGGGTATGGCTAGACTGGCAGGGTTCTTGCTAAGCCAGTCTTATCAAAGTTCTGTTTACCAAACATTTACATTTGTAAAGGTTTACCCCTCTCTGTACTAGGAAGAGGGAGGGATGACCTTATCTGTGGAAACTCTGATCAGAACAGAAGGAGAGGACTTAAATCTACATACTCTTGATTGCTGTGCTTTCTGGTAATCTCCCATAGCTGTCTCCTCCCCCACCCCCAACATCTTCCTTTGTCTTTATCTAAATCTATTTAAGGTGAACACCTCCACCATTTGTTGAGAAACTCAGTTTCCCTGGTTTCTCCCATGTATACATGTTATTAAACTTGGTTTGATTATCTCCTGCTATTTGGTATCATGTCAATGTAACTTGTAGCCCAGCCAGAAAGGACCCAGAGTGGGTAGAGGATACTCTTCCTCCCCATTTAGATCTATGGAGAGTCACTGTACTTTTCTTCTCTACCTTTGTGTATGCTTAAAATTGCTACAATGAAAAGATTTTTAAAAAGCATAACATTCTATAGACAAAAAAGGAACTAAACTAACAAAGGCGATCATTCACAAGGGCTCTGTTCCTGCTCTCAGGGTTTGCCCCTGTGACCTGGCACACAGACAGACCCTGAGATGCTCATAATAAATGTACCCACACCTCAGAGAGCAGGTACTGTGGTACAACCTGGAATGGTTTGCTTGTTTGGTTAACATTAATTCTCATTGTCTTCTGCCAGTACAACACAGCCCTGACTTGGGGGAGTTTCGACCTTGACTGCATCCTCTCTGTCTCAAACTTTCATTTCTATCAACTAAGTCTGCCAGCAAGAGCCAGAGGTAGGGACTGTTTCAAATGACAAGCTCATGTGGGCACACACTGAACTGAGAGGTATGAGTTACGCAGAACACCCGCTGAACTGCCCTTGCCGCATTTTCTGATAACATAAGACACAGTAGCCAAAGTCTCAGTCATGTGAAACTTTCAAATGGCAAAAATGCTATCGTTGCTCCTCTCTCATTTGCCCCACGACCCTGCGACGTGGGAAGCAGTGTGTGGAACACACTGATGAATCAGACACGGGCCCGCACTCAAGGAAGCTGACAAGGTAGGGGAAACATATAAGACATAGGAATAAACATGTAGCTTCACACAGGGTAGAACGTGCATTAAAGGTCTACGTTGCCTTCCCCTTTAGACTTTAAGCTCTGTGAGGGCAAGGACCACATGGGTCTCATTCAGCTACAGTGACCAGCCATAGTAGGTGCTCACTTTAAAAATGCCTTAAATACACGGCCCTATGGATGAAAGAGTCAGGGAGTCCAGAGAGGGAGGGAGAATTCCAGGGTTAAAGGAAAGGCTTCATGTGGAGATGCCACTTGACTTTGGACCTGAGACTTGGACACACTGAGACTGAGGCAATGGTGAGAGATTCTCAGGGGAGGGATTAGCAAATAAAAGTTACCGTTACTCTCTCCTCACTTATCCTTTCATCCTTGTTAGCAGCACACTCTCTTACTGCTAGAAATAAAACATCAAAGTGTCTGTTATATAACTAGTCAACTTCTTAGATGGAAAAATGAATATCTTTGCATTCATTCAACATTAGAATATAGTGTTTTATGATAAGCACTCAAAGAATACTGGAATCCTTGATGACGTGCCAAATGTGATGCTATCTCTAAGAAAATATGAAGTGTCTTTAATGAAGGAATTTATTTTTAAAACAGAAAACAAAAATGCAGTACCTCCTCTGTCCCCAAAAGTTTCTCAGGTTCGGTTGCAAAGTAGAAGTAGTTTACACCACGAAGATGTTCCTCAGTCACAATGTCCACCACGCCTGGCAGGCTGAGCGCTTCTGACAGATCAAGAGACCTAGAGGAGAACACAGAGCAGGGCTCCTCAGAGCAGCCCCACAGCCGAAGACCCCGGAGCACGTGCTTCATTAGAGAATAAGATATGAGAGAGGTAAGATACATCTAAGAACCCTTCACAATAGTTCCCTCCCAGACAATTGGGAAAAATTCCTGAGACAATGAAGTTATTATATGGAGGGACACATTGTAGTAAAGCACACATTTCGATCCTATTTCACCTCTAATCTGCATTGGATATCACCAACAAATAGCTTATCCTCTTCATCCCACTACTCTTCACTAACGTGACTTAGACAAAAGGGCAATCATTAACGTCTATTGTAAGAACTGCATCACTTACACAATCTTAGCATGAGCTCTTGAACTCGTCACAAAAGTCAAGAAAAGTTCCCGATCAACCGCTGGCATGTCGTCACAGTAGATGGCTTCACCCGTGGCATGGTTAATACCAGACAGATGCATGATGGGATGGCCAATTGGGTCTTGAGGAAGCTGCTTTGGGCCTACATTCTGTTTAATCAATAACCAACATATCATTTTTATAATCATTTTACGCACATCTTCCATAAGAAGGTAGCTATATAATGTACATGCACCCAGAAGACTTTTGAAAATGAAAACAGTCATTATTAGTAGTAACACCAGAACAATAAGCCTGTTCCAATAATTCAGTAAGGAAACGGGGATGTATAGCCTTGATGTTGTTCTTATTTTTTCCACAATTTTTTGGAATATAGACCACAAACTTCTCTAATGCAAATTCCATTTTTATAAGTAAATGAATATAAATCTTTTTTCATGGTAATGTAAGACTACGTCTTCTTGCTAATGCTCATGTATTTCTTTAAAATTTAATATCAAGATTATTTTACTGTTTGTATCTAAGCATGGCACATATATTGTGGAGAAGAGCATGGTGATATCATTACTATGTTTATAGGAAATATTGAGGCTAAGCCTTCAACCAGAAGAATCTTCTTTTTTCTGTTTTAAGGGAAGAAGTCTAAGACATAATTGGTAAAACTCGTAACTTTGACAATCCTGGTAAGAACAAAGCCAAAGGGAGATGGATTTTGAGTAATGATTCACTAACGTTACTCTTTCTTAGAGACCCATGGGGTAAAATGTCTTGCTACTGGTTCTCTAAACACCTTAAATATGTTTCATTAACCAAAGTAGAAATTAAGAAACATAACGTCTCCCCTAGTATTTCAAATGAGAGAGTTGTTGGCCTTCCTAGTTGGTTGGTTGTTGGGAGAAGAAGAATTGGAGGTATGAAGAAAGAAGGGGTTAAGAGACATGATATAGGCCAAGCTCAGACACCAGGGTGAAGACTCTGGCTGCTAAGGGGCAGGTGCTGGGAGTGTGGGAGGTGGGAATTCCAGGAAAATTGCCAGCCAAGCAGCCACGGGCTACTCTCTGCAAGGAGAGGGCAGCTCTGGGCCTGGAGCTCTGCCCGAGGAGCTGCCCGCTAAGCAGTGCTGAGCAGCCCCATCCACGACTCACTGGCGCAGCAGTGCGTTTGGTCCTAGGGCCGAGGCCAGACTCTCGGAGGCTTTCTCTGGAAGCCTTGGGGGTGAGCAGCACACAGTAGGTCAGCCAAGGTGAGGCCTGGAAAAAGCTGGGGAGGTCTCCCCTTCCCACCCCCTCGGCTGCCCCACCCTGCAGGTCACGGGTCCCCGAGCCCTGGAAGAGGCAGGGACTGGTTCTTTGAGGTGAGCCTCACAGCGCGGGGCTACATCACACAGCAGGAGGGAGGGCAGGACAAGTCATTACCAGAACACATACTGGTTAAAACCTTTACGCAGGAGGGAGAAGAAGCCATAGAAGCTGACCTGCTTCCAACTCAGTATCACTAAGGCACCTGAGGAAAAGGGCTAAATACTTTTGTATTTGGTTGCCAGAATGTGCAGTTTGAGAAAGACTATTCAGAACATCCTGACGATAAATGTGACACTTGATTCCACCTAAAGTGTGTGTCATTTCAATCACAGCTGCCGACTTTCCGGAGTCAAAGCTACCCCGGTCCGAGGAAAGTGCTCCAAGGCCCTTGCTCTGTGGAATCGAAGGGAAAGACCCTAACTGTCTGGGTCCCACGACCAACTAGCATGTTTTCTTTTCATGCACGTGTGTTACTTTCTTTTCCTTTCTGAATATTTGGATTTAATTTAGCAAATAACATGAATGGAAGAGAGCCATCATGGTTATGATGGGGAATGTTACTAAAGATAGCTGTGAGAACACACTTCTCCAATGCCCTCTGCTGCTCATGGGACTGAGAAGAGTGGTCCTCACTCACTGCCAACCCAGCTGAGGGACTCATAGAACCAACCTTCTGCTTGAGACAGATCAGAGGGTCTCCAGGCAGGGGGCGGGCCTGGATCACAAGGAGGGAGAGGAGAGTGGCACGTGTGATTCGAACACATGTTAAGCATTCTTGTTCGTTATTTGGAAAAAAAAAACAAACAAACTATTGTTTCCATAATGTAAATGACAAGAAGTAAAATATCAGGCAAATTTTGACTGACAATTATATGCAGAACGTACAGTCATTTCTAAAAGTAACTTGGCATAAGACACGTGTAGGATGCTCTAAACTTATTGTTATTTCATACAAAATTTACTGTTTTACAGTAAAGTATACACTTATTAGTAAACATTTATTGTTTCGATGCCCATGTATGTTTCATATAGATGGGAACTTCAACTTTGCAATTACTATAATACAGTGCACAAAAAAGGAATATTGGCTAAGCTTCTTTTGGTTGCTGTGTTCATCCTCACTTTAGAAACTAGAAAGCAGAAGATTACCAAGAAAAATAATTTAGAACCCGGCCCAGGCACCATTAAATAAAGGGATATACCAGGCCATGAATGTAGGGAAATAGGGAAAATGAGAGAAAATTTTGCACATTGGGGTTCAGGCATGGACAAGGATTTGCAGCAGCCCAGCTCCACTGACACAGCTCATTGCTTTGTCCTCAAGACCAAGTGCCCCAGTAGGTCTCGTCTCCCTCTCCTTTGAGGAGCTGAGACAGTGATCAAAAGAAAAAATTTACGAAGGCCCCATCAGGTATGGTTTCTCCTGTTCCCGATGGTAGGGATGCACTGCCTCCATTAAATACCCACAAATCGCCCTGCTTTGATGCCTTTCTGGGCTCTCGACTTGAACAACATTTGAATGAAAAATCACCCACATCTTTTTTTAAAGTCCTAAGAGGCTTTTCCATCATGAAGAGCAAAATTCCAGGTAATTCACAAGCTTAGACACTGAAAAAACACATGAGTAGGTTTCTATAAAGGCTCTGGAAGTTTTCTATGATGTAATACTTTTTACTATAAATAATGGAACACATCATCACATTGAAAAAAACCCTTCTGAAACCTTGCCATGAGAGGCCTGCCAAAAGATTGAAGAAAAATATCAAAATATATCTTTGTTCTATTCTATTACCAAATACGAAATTGATTACTTTAGTGGAAGATATAACACATTATTTGCAGTCAGTGTGACGAATCTACTGGCGAAAGAGGCTGTAATCACTTGTTTCGGCTTGTTTGTGGCTAAAGATACGACGGAAAAAAGACTGTCGTCTCCTCGAACTGGTGATCTCTTGGAGCTGTGTCAAAATGCTTTCAAAGCAAATGGACTTACTTGGGGAAAAATATGCTCATCATGAGTGTTGGAGTTGCTCTAGCAATGTGGGTATTTGTGTGTGTGCGAAAAACCACAAGGAAAACAAAAACGAAACTCATCTGTGTGGGAGATACACTGCTTCCAAAAGCTTGACTTGCAATCTATGATAACTGATAACAGATAACAGTTTAAGATGATCAACTATGTGAAGATTATCAGTTTTCTTTGGATGATTTGAATGCCCATTAAGTGGTTCTTGTTATTCCTTTCTGAAGCTTACTCCATTGTCAAGGCCAGGTTAAGGTATTTATAAGCTGAAGGCTGCAGCCGCCGTATTTTGTGGACCACTAGGGAAGACGGCAGCTGTTTTTAACTTTCAAAATGATCACTTTCAATGGAGTTTAGCATATTTGAATTTTTGAACATACTGCACCTAAAATCTCAAGGGATATACACCAACTTCAATGTTCATTACGACATACTGTAAGCTTTCATAACTAAATCCAACAGTAGACTCAATGAACCGATGTTTTAAAAAGCCTCCTCATGTTCTTGAATTAAACTCTCAAAGTAAAGGTTCTGGATAATAATTTTAAGAAAAAACACCTGGAGTCTTATCCAGTTTACCAACAGGATGACTTCAGGTGATCTTTTTGTGATGTTGTGGCAGAAAATTCCACTTCAAAGTTACAAGGATTTCTTTTCTCTCTAATAGTCAGTTTTCATTAGGGGAGCTCGAAAATAGCTCTTACAACTTATCTTTGCTTCACCTCTAAAATGTAACTCACAGAAAAAATACTTGGAGAATAGGGACTGGGTGGGCAGAGGGTCTCCACACTCACACAAAGTAAACCAGCAGCTCACTTAGAAAGCTTGAGTGCATTTTCATCACCCTCCAAGGGCTGTGTTTTCTGCCCCTCTGAAAATGAAATCGAAGCAGCCCCACGGCCCTGACACAGAAGTGACTTTGTGCTCCGACTTCTACGGTGCCAAGGGCAGAGGGCATGTGGCAAGCTAGCCAGCTCGTGCATGTCAGTGGTACAAGGCCACAGGACACAACACACGGCCTTCAAGATCAAAACAGACTTTAAAAAAAAATTTACCATTGCTAGCTTTGTCTTTAGTCATAATTCTTCATTGACTTTGAAATGTTAATGAATGATGAGTTCATCAGAAGAGGAGCTCGCGTTTACCAAGCTTGAGAATCACTGAGAGAGAGGTGGGAGGTCCAGGTGGAGGAGCCACAGCCCAGGCCCCTGAATTCAAAACACAGAAGCCACTCACCTGGAGCCTGAAGGTACCCCAGTCATGTCTGGAGTGCAGATCTTCTAACGCACTCTCGTACTTGTCTGCAAGGCCAGGATAGTGAACAGGGTCCTGAAAAGTAGAACCGTTGTAGGTGTTTAAAATACGTCCGTACCAGAATGGTCTCGCAAGCGAGGCTGGCACGGTTCTGAGCAAGCAGCTCTACTCTGAAGTCTGGCATTCAGTAAGATCTCGCCCAGTTCAGAACCCCAGAAGTGCAAGCAGCTCCCGCACCCACACACTCGGGAAGGTCCATACACACGGCCGCACATGATGAAGAGCCAAGTGAATACGTAGGTCACTGACTTCCAACATCTTTATGTTTCTTATGATTTTCTCATGTGCTTTCCTAAATGATTCGAAGACTTACAAACCAATAACACAGGAAGATAGACGCTAAGGAAATGAAGCGGAAAGGAAGAGAATGGATAAACCAGAAAAAAGTCAGAGTCAAAGCAGACCATTGTCAATGAGCACGAAACTCTGCTCTACCTGGCGAACCCCGGAAAAGCGACATGCAGGGGCTGCACCCCTCCCCAGCCCCACAGCAGGTGGCGTTCTGGGCTCAGGGGGAGCACTTCTCAGGGCTGAGGGCAATGAGTCATCTGGGTCCTTCCACTAGACCTTAACCAAGACACCTAATGGTTACTGTTTACATTTTAAAATTTTAATAGAAAATTAAAGCCAACAAACGTTATTATTTTTAATAACAGAGGAGTATTGACTAGAAGAAGCTGAACTGAAGGTATAAGACTACAAGGTGGAAGCTTTAAGTCACATACACTTGATTCACCCAAGAAACAGTTAGTTTGCTATTCATTGGAGGAGTCTACGATTGGCTTTATTTTTCTCTTTTGATTAGACAGTGACAATATGTCACTTATATATGATTTCAAGCTTCTATTCTCAAAGATTTGATAAAACCATTCTGGTTCTTAGTTGTTCTCAGCTGTAATAAGAAAATACTTTCAGAAACAAGGATAAGAGAAGGCTTTGTGCCTCTTATTTAGACTGATCTTGAGGGTAAAAACCTCCACAAGTGGAAGAAAGGCTTCACTGAGGGAAAATATATTCAAATCATGACAAGTTTTCTGCATACTATCTAGACACACAACAGGGAAGAAATAGAATAACTGAGTGGCATTAAACAGAATCCTGCACAGCTCTGTGCTCGACTTGCAATTCTTCCCCAAACTCACACCCATCAGCAGACAGCCCGATGGAGCCCCGTGAGCCCACGGGTTTCTAATTCGGGTTGTCTTTTCTATTCTACAGCTACTGGGCAGGGGGCCGTTGCCTCCACTTGGGTATCACCAGAGTCCCCAGTACTGGGAAAGCTAATACACGGTCAGTTCCATTTACCATCGTCTTCAGAGTCTGTGACACCTTCAGGTAGAACTTGAAGAGGAAGCTGACGATGAGAGTCCTCTTGAACTCCACCTGTCCGCCCGGAGCCCCGCCTGGAAGGGAGACTTCATCCAGAACCAGCCTGCAAGCTGCATCCAGCATCTCTTCATTCCAGGGCCTGCGGGAGTCAGAAGAGCAGACTCCTGGCTGACAGGACTCACTGCCTCACAGGCTCAGCCAGCGTGTGAGACATAGAGCCACAGTTTAACGAAGGAAATAAGAATACAGGCTTTGCAGTCGGGCAACCCCAGCTCGAGTCACATTCACCCTCTCAAGGCGTCGGGCCTGGACCCGCCCACCACTTCCTCAGCTGCAAAAGGGAATAATAGGAGAACCCACCTCAGGAGGGGTCACGAGGAGGGAAGGACAACCCGTGTTGAGGCCTTAGGCCAGGAGTAACTGACCCTGTATCACATTACAGAACATGCCAGAACGATACTGCGTGCCAGGCTCTGTACTAGGCCTTATATGTATCCATTCATTTAATCCCCTCAACTGCCCATGAGGTAGGGATGATTATCCCCCTTTGACAGATAAGGAATCTGAGTCAAGCAAGCTGATTGAGATCACGTAAATAATAGACGTTGAACTGAGCTTTGGACCCTGGCGTTTGGCTCACTCAAGTTCATGCTTTTAACCATTGTTCTCTATTATTTCTGAAATGGTAAATGATACCTGGGAAATGCTTGAGAAATATCAGCTATTAGTATCATCTATAGAAAGAAAAAGTCAGGTAAGCAAATGCATTTAGCCATTTATTATAAAAACAAACTCCCATGATCAATTTTTCATCATGGCTAATCATTCTCTCATGGTAAAGAATGAAAATTTACTCATTTTGCTTACCGTGTCCATGTACTACTGGGAGATGGGCTCTTGCTCTCTCTTTCTCTCTCCCTCACTCTCTCTCTTTCACATATACCGCCCCATGCACACACACACACTATATGATGCCCACTTCAGGAATCACTAAAATCAATACACATGGAAATAATCATGAAATCTTATTGGAATTCCACGCCATTAAATAAAGAGGTAGTAGGCATTTTTCTCTTGTAATTGCACGTCACCACAAAAAGAGCTGCTCCGTTACTTGGAGTCTCAGGGCACGACGCCATACCTTCCGATGAGTTTCTGGCAGGAATTCTTTGCACAGACGGTGGTTGGACCCACGCCTCCGTATGCGATGGATAACTCCCTAATGACGCCATCTCCTTCTCCAAAAAAGACTCTCATTCCCGAATTGACTATCGCAAGCGCATTCTGCTGCCGCTGGGCTTGTCGGAAGGCTGACATAAATTCCCACTGAAAGCACAAGTCAAGTGGCACATGTAGAAACACAAGAGTGACAACTATGCACTGGGCAGTTTACGTGTGTGGCCTCATACGTCCTTGTCACACTCCCTGTTATGGGCTGAATTGTGCCCTCCCCAATCATATGTTGAAGCCCTAACCCCTAGTACCTCAGAATGTGGCTATATTTAGAGACAGGGTCCTTAAAGAGGTAATTAAGTAAAAATGAGGTCATTAGGGTGGGCACTAATCCAACATGGTGGTGTCCCCATAAGAAGAGGAAATTTGGACACTGGCATGAACAGAGAGAGACCCTGTGAGGACACAGGGAGAAGATGATCACCCACAAGCCAAGGAGAGAGGCCTCAGAGAACCCAACCCTGTCAACACCTTGATATCAGACTTCTAGCCTCTAGAATCGTGAGAAAATAAATGTCTGCTGTTTAAGCCCCCAGTCTCTGGTTCTTTATTATGGCAGCCCTAGCAGACTAATACCCCTCCGAGGCTGGCTGGATTATCCCTATGTCCCAGACGAGGACTCTACTGCTCGGAGGGATTCAGTAATTAGTTCAGGGTCACAGTGGATCTGCACACCAACATTCAATTTTCAGTCTGACTCCAAGCCCTTCTTCTTTCCACGAAGTTCTATTGTAAACGTATGTTCTTAGCTTCCTTCAAACCCCAAGATATAGGTAGAAGTATATTTTCTAATCTTATTTAGAAATAAGCTTCACGGAACAAAGAATTTTTAAAAATCTGTAAGAAAGTAACTTTTGAGTTTGGGTTGGGGAGGGGAGACAGAGAGAGAGAGGGAGAGAGAGGAGACGGCAGAGATGAAGGTCTCCTGATTCCATGAATGATGCAAGACACAAGTGAAAAGTGACTACACACAAGTCCTCAGAATCGCACCTGTAAACACTCAACACCTTCTCTGAACCCCATGTGTTGGAATTAACAGCTGCAGGCTCACAGGTAAAACCAAGAAATTGAAAGGACACTCTCACCTTCCTCGAGTAGGGGATGTTCACTGAGACCAAGATTTCTTCAGGCTTAAGATCCGCACTGGGGCATTTTCTGAGAAACTGCTCATTTAAAGGAATCTGTCGTTCTCCTTCTGTGGCAAGAAACAACACCTCTCCTGGAATCTGTTCTATTAAACAATCAAACTTCCAAAACTTTGGAAATAATTCTACCAAACACCTGAGGAACCTGACTGTTTGGGAAAGGGTACACTCTTCCTATGCTCACTGATCACTCACCTACGATGGCACCTTACAGTGACTCCTCCAGTCAAGGTCCTACATTTTTTTTTTTCCTTCTTTACTTGCTTTAAATAAAAATACCTAGCAGAGTAGCCCGGAGGTCAGTCCAACAGGACCTGAGCAGTCCTCTTCCTGAACAGCAAAATTTCTTTTGAGCTTTACAATTAGGGAGTAGATATTAATATCCCTTTTAATATTCTGATCAAGTCATCCAACAAACATTTATTGCTTATGACCAGGAGTGCTACTTAGTAGAGTACTAAATAAGTAAATTGCCTTTAATGAATTTTTATACTAGTGAGGGGCTGTCTTATTTGTTTATAAGCTTTCCATCACCTAAAAAATTTCTGTTCTTTAATCAATATATTGAGGGGAGGAACCATTTAAAGCTGTAACAAAATATGACATTGGGACAAAAGCTGAGAAGCTTTTGATGTTTATATTCACATCACAAAATCTATTTCTCATTATATGATTTTTTTTTTTTTTAACTTTTATTTTATTTTTTTCCCCCCCAAAGCCCCAGTAGATAGTTGTATGTCATAGCTTCACGTCCTTCTAGTTGCTGTATGTGGGACGCGGCCTCAGCATGGCGGGAGAGGCGGTGCATCAGTGCGCGCCCGGGATCCGAACCTGGGCCGCCAGCAGTGGAGCGCGCGCACTTAACCGCTAAGCCACAGGGTCGGCCCTCATTATATGATTTTTTTAAAGGGATGTTACTTAAATTTATAAGTCTGAATGCAAATCTTGCTCCTTAAGAGAATTTTGTGGTTGAGATGATATGAAGAGGAGGTATTTAACAATGCAGGCAATAGAAATCTAGTCCATGTTTTTAAATGGAAATAAAAACAGATGTATGGAGGACCAATTAAGACTTCGTAATAATTGTAAACGAAGTTGGAATAAGAGAAATAAATTCTGGACTTAGTTTCAAAAACAAAACTCAAATACATATAGAATGAAGCCCAAACATTGTTCAATAGAAAAAGGTCTGTAGGCTTCCATCAACGACCAATTAAGGATGAGCACACAGCATGATGTGGGTGCCACAACACTCCTGTACCACCTGGAGAGAGTCTTCAACAAAGGCCCAGTGGTTCTCAGTAGCCTCTAGTTCTCTCCACTACTCAGTTCACATGGGGACACGAACATCACAAGCAAGGTCAACGTAGGGTGACCAGCATGGGAAAACTTCTAGCACCAGACCTCAAAAAGAAGAGGATGAAGACATTGGGAGTGTGTGGAATTAGGACCAGGCTGACCAACGTTCCAGCATCCAGAAAGGCAGAGAGAGTTATTAATATTATAAAGAATAGTCATTTTCGGGCTGGCCCGGTGGCGCAAGCAGTTAAGTGAGTGTGTTTCGCTGTGGCAGCCCGGGGTTCGCCAGTTCGGATCCCGGGTGCACTCCGATGCACTGCTTGTCAAGCCATGCTGTGGAGGCATCCCATATAAGGTAGAGGAAGATGGGCATGGATGTTAGCCCAGGGCCAGTCTTCCTCACAAAAAAAAAAAAAAAAAAGAATAGTCATCTTCAAAACTGGGCCTCCTGCCTCCCCAGAGAGAAAAAGGGCTAGGAGGAGCAGGTTTAATAATCCCCAAGAAGGAGCTGTCACTCACCTTTTGACAGCAAGTTGAGGGTACAGTTGCCCACGGCCAGGAGGGGATTCAGATCTGAATCCAGATGCCTACTCACGATGTGGCCCCCTAAAGACTTTTTAAAATAATGAGTTATTTTCACACCAGTTATGTAATTATAAAAACACAAGTGATCAACACTCCTGCTAAATGACTCTACCAGTGATGAGTTCCAGCTCACGGGGAGAGAGAATTGAGAAAGGGAGCTGCTATTATTCCAGATAGGCAAAGACAGGTATAACTTAATAAGCTTTTAGTCAGAGCATAGAATGACTGTCCTTGGGTCCAGTGCCCTCGTCCAGTCCAGTCAACAGTAGCCAAGGGGACAGGCTTTGGAGCGCAGACATGGCTACACTATTACCTGTTTCAGCTTTAACAATGGAATTTTACCTGGCAATATTTGCCCTTTCTGGTATAACTTATGTAACTCTAGTACTTAACAGCTGCTGTTGAAGCTAATATTCTTATTCAGTTCTGCAGTGTTAGAATAAAAAAAAACACACACACACAAGTGATCAAATAAGGATTAATCAAGGCTTTGGAGAACTATTTTTTGCCTGTTCCAAAAGAATGAAAATGTCGTGATTTGTCAGAGACAGTCACCCAAGGAATGCGCACCAGAGTCTACTGTCACCAAATACATACAGCCATGTTCCTGATCTGGGATCCGGCCAGAGTTCCCAAATGCTTCAAGAGAGCATGGTACGTCTGCGTCTTCTCCTCTGGAAGCTTCTGGATCACTTCAGCCAGGATGTCCTTCACCTGAGCCAGGCTGAGGCCGGCACCTAAGGTCAGCCCTGAAATGAATTCATGTGTAAATAATGCAAAGAGATCACTGCTGACCTGGAACTATCCATTAGACCAAAACTACAGACAGGGGATCTGTATGCTGGATACATGTTGCCCTGCCTCTTGGCGGTGATGATGGTAATGGTGATGGTGGTGGTGGTGATGGTGATGGAAGTGGTGTTGGTGATGGTGGTGGTAGTGATGGAAGATGTGGTGGTGATGGTGGTGATGGTGATGGAAGTGATGGTGGTGATGGAGGTGGTGGTGATGGTGATGGAAGTGGTGGTGATGGTGATGGAGGTAGTGGTGTTAATGGTGTTAATGGTGGTATTGATGGAAGTGGTGCTGATGGTGATGGTGGTGATGGTGTTGATGGAGGTGGTGGTGATGGTGGTGATGGTGATGGAGGTAGTGGTGTTAATGGAGGTGGTGGTGGTGGTGTTGATGAAGGTGGTGGTGATGGTGACGGTGGTGTTGGTGATGGAGGTGATGGTGACGAGGGAGTGATGTTGCTAGAGGTGGTGGTGACAGTGATGGAGGTGATGGAGGCTAAATTTTTTGAGCAGTCACTGTTCAAGCACTATGCTGAATGCTTCACAGAACCTCCTTGAATCTTAAGAAACGTTTGAAATAATTGCCCCATTTTGCAGATGAAGAAACTGAAATTCAGAACTTGACTAAGGTCTTACAGCTAATACACGACATAGTCAAGAATTAGACTCCAGAGCCAGACTCCACACCCACATTTATCATACTTCTCATCATTGCCATTAAATCAGTTTCCTTTGTGGAAATGGACAAGCCAGTCTGGAAGCTGCTTAATACATAAACTTGCTTTGCTTACTACTGTGCTTCTGGAGAACAAAGACTGTGTTCCACTCCTCTGTATCTTCTATCCAGCACTCAGCACAGTACCCTTCATTGACTAGTTGTTACATTCCTCTAACAGGGCAGATAAAACGTTCTTCACTAAAAACCTGACTATTCAGATGATTAATATCTCATATAACTACAGAGAATTCTCCCCTGAGCCTCCTCTAAAATGTTATCATTCTTATAAGAAGAGAATCTCTCTGTAAATTACAATTAGGAATAATTCTTCTTCTGCTTGTCTGCTGGGCAAAGGAAATAAATTAATTAACGCATTTTAACTAAGAAAACAGGGACCACGAGAACTCACCATTATCTTCATAGTTTACAACACTCAGTTCTTCAATTCTATCAGGAGAAATTATAACTGGGTGAAAGACACCTTTAAATTTCATGTCAGGCCCTAAAGGATTAGAAAAAAATGAAATTTGAAATTGTGATTAAAAGTGATATCTTTAAACATATAAAAATTATATATCTTTCTATTGGTCTGTTCATTGCCCAATCACACACACAGAGAATGGCCAGGTGGACTTTCACTAACCTTAGGGGACTCTTTGGACTTGTCAGCTTCACAACTTGCCTGACAAGTCCAAGACAACTTGTGGCTTACTCAAATTCTCTTTGGAAAGATTCTAGACTACTCCTCAAAGAAGTAGGTGTAACGAACACAACACAAAGATCTTGTAACTGCAGCTTACGGAATCACATCATGCCTATCGAGACACCCCCCACCAAGAGAGGAAACAAAGAGCAATTTCAAACATGAGCCCAGCTCCGTCTCCACACGGAAACCAGGACAGCTGTCACTGGAACTGCTGCCTCTGAGCTGTGATGGAGCAGCCTCCTGGGGTCACTCTGCACAGTGCTCTGATTAGGGGCAACAGGAATTCACTCATGTAATGGGAGCTGTGAAAGTCTCCTGAGCAATGTCAGTGTCTTGAGGAAGTCAAGTCTAAATGGTTGACAGTGCTATTTCTGACTGCTTTTCCTGAGAACATGCATATGTGAGGTTCTTTCCCCCAAAGGCCTTTTCCTCAGTTTCCTCCTAAGAGGTCCCTGGGGTTCCACATACCCACAGAGGTGTTCCCCATGACAACAGGGGCCTGGGGATACTTGACTTTAGCTTCCAGAAGTTCCTTCAGGGTCACTGGAGAAATCCATGTCATTCTATCTCCACTAAAAACCCTGGTCCTTTGTGGTTGTTTCTCAGCCATTATCTATTGAAAAAGCAAGAGGGATTCAAGATCATCTCGTGACAACATTGCCACCTGTTTCTGCTCTATCTTCGTGGGAACATAAAATGGAAATGGAGACCTTTTGAAAACAATAAAATAAAAGTGACAAAAGTAGAGCTTTTTGGAATCAGAGTTCAAATTCAAAGTACGACAACATTTGACTCCTTCTGGAGACTGTTCTCATGCATCTCCCTTTGGTGTTTTTATACCTCAAAGGAATTCATTTCAATGTTTAAAAATATCTTAACGTGTTTAATTTTGTCAAATCACTCTGTGGAAGAATAAACTTCAGCAAAACTGGAAGTAGAAAACATGTCTACAGCTACAAATGCTGTGGTGTCATCATGACATTTTTTACAGATACTATCTGCTGCTTCTTACAGTCAACTGTCCCC